TGAGTTTAGTTTTACGCCGCTTTTAGCAATATTCCAGCAATATCACGGCAGGGGACACCAGAAATGTAAGATTTCATTGAAAATGATGTGAATGTGTTCAGCCCCACCACTACACATATTCCAATTACATTGTTAACAGAAATGACTGGATTATGCCCATTAGAAATTCAAGCTTTTAGCATTCCCAAAGTGCCGTGTAAAAAACATATATTATTATAAGATATTTATATATCGCACATATCCACGCAACTAGTATATGCTCAAGGCGCTGGTATGTTTTTCACTCGATCATTCTCAACTGCACATCGTATTATCAATCTAAACTCCCCGGGGAGCATACAACTCTTGCAGCCACAAGGCGCACTGAGTTATTGCGGCTTTCTCATCCTAACGAGGATCCCATAGCGCTAGGGTGGACTGGGACACATAGTCACAGTACTTTGTCCAAGTTTACTGCACATTGCTGTACCTGCAACTAGGTGTTTGCACGTATTCCTGTTCTTTTAAGTGCACAGGGTTGTGTACTGTACACTAGTGGTTGTGAAAACACTGAAAGAGACTGCACACAAAGTTGACTCAAAGGTTTTTACACCCGGTCACAGATGGCTCGATCCTGACACCTCAAGCTCGCTGGATCACCAGGCAGATGCCTTAACCAGCTCTCCCACCTACAAATCACCTGTAAAGAAATACGACAAATTCTGTTAAATATAGCTTATATTTCTGATCTAAGTTTGTATCATATCTTTTCAATATATCCCGAAAAGGCAAAACAAATGATCATTTGACAGCGTTTTTATTTGATGAGGTTCAGCCACGACAGAAAAAGTGATAGACAAGTCCAGTGTCCACAGAACATGCCAGAGCTCACTACAAACAGAGGCCACTGACACTCACCAAGGTCACTACAAATAGTTTCTCATATATAAACATTAGTGTGTTGTTGACAGTGTAATACAGTGGCCAGATGCTGGTTCAACAGCCAAGCCAAGCAGAATCATACAAGATTATACTCCATTACACACTCTTCATGTTTGTGATGCCAAAAAGCTGTTGGATGGAGCTTTCCAAACATTGGAGAATGTCCGATTACAGTTGGGGGCTCTTTCAACAATATTTTGTGAATCAAGTGAGTTTATTATGCATGGAAAAAAATGTAACATCACATCTTTCTGATTTTGCAGATTTCTATCAGGTAACATCCTATGTTAATTAATAAAATTTGTAATTTGAGACAGTATGGCCTAATATATAGGCCAAATGCGTTTCAGTGAGATTGAGTAAACACTTTACACTGCATTTGTAAACAATTATGGTCATAGCATCTGGTCTGTTACTAATCATGACTGGGACTGACAAACAAGTGGTTGAAAGCATGAGCACCAATTCATCCCACCAGGCATAATGATACATAGACTGGTTTAACAACGCAGCCTCAAGATCCTCCTGTGTTGGTTCTGGTTACAAAGGTTCAGGGTGCCTTTCATGCACTAGATCTCTAAAGAGGTAATTTCACCAAAAAATATATAATTTTTTTTGCCATCTGATAAAGTAACTGACACTAGACAAGGTACCTGTAACGCCGACAAACAGCTTTGTGGCAAGACTCCCTCTGAAAGCTTTCAGCATCACAAGCACAAAATAGCACACCCTTGGAGAAACTTAGTGCTGGTACATCTCAATACTTGCCTCATACTTAGCTTAAAGGAATAAAATTAAAACAATGTTTGTGAATACTACCTGTATATTGTAAACAATAAGCAAATAACAAAAGTACTATACAAAAAGAACTTCAACAACTATCAAGTCCAGGTTTTTATGACACATAATTGACACAATTCATCAACATAGTTTCAAATTCATAAGATTAAAACAAAATGCTACAAAGGTTCACTTTCACAAAACATCTATACTGAAAATAAAACTGTTTGTCTCATAAGCATCTAAAGGACCATTGAGCATTTTTCATTAAGTGTTATTATATTTTTCAGTAATAAACACATATTCAATTTGGGTATTCTGCCAACTATCAAATCAAATGAGATATTAATCCAAATGATGTAAATGACCAAATGACAATGGTGTTCTTTGACAATTCCATGAACATGTTAGAGAAGAAAATGCATCACATATTTTCAGAACCATCCGAAAAATTCACACTGGTAATAAGGGACTTTAGGATATAGATATATAAATATTTTCATGAGCAATAGGCTACTCTAAAGAGTAAGAGCTGTCAGACATCACAGAAGTGCTAAAACTAAAGATTTACATTGTAGGTTCATGTTCATAATGACAGCTTTCCAATTTGATAAAGTGAGTGAGTGAGTTTAGTTTTACGCCGCTTTTAGCAATATTCCAGCAATATCACAGCGGGGGGACACCAGAAATGGGCTTTACACATTGTACCCATGTGGGGAATTGAACCTGGGTCCTCGGCGAACGCCTTAACCACTAGCCTACCCCACCGCTCCAATTTGATACAGCAGCTGAATAGTGTGTCAGTTAAATCGCCACCTTTTGATGTGGAAGTCAGCAGTGAGGCAGGCCTAACACATTTACTTCATAGGTGTAACCCATAAGCATGGGACAGGTGCTATAAACCCAGTTGGGATCACAGTTTCCTGTAACACCTAAGGGACATGACTCTGCACATCAAACTATGTCACCTGAGACAACAGGGCTATTCGTGCCTATTGCTTGATGGCCCTGAACCAAAATATTTGAAGGCAGGTTACAGGATGTTAATCTTTAATCTGCATAATAATGACTTGTTCTAGCCACACTATAAACATGAACCTTTAATGTTAACGGAATGCTACATTGCAATGTTGTTTACAGAAATAAGAAAGACCAGAATTCCTGTAAAATGAGCTTGAATGTTGATTACTACAAAAACAGTCACTATTTTGGCCCTCCAAACACCAATGAAATGAGTCACACTTCATCTGACCCTGTTAGGTGGGACTTTCTAAAATCTCACAATATTGCTTCATAAAATTGTCCAGTCAGTGAACTACAATGTACAAAATGCTTTAAAACACAGGCACAAGAATATATTTACAATGGATCAAACAAGCATGACAGAAAAATATGCTGAAATTCTACAATTTAAGAAACCATTCTAAGACCTTTACCCATCACAAGAGTATATACATTTCAAAATGAGGGTGGAAGCTTACACTGTCAGGTGACATCCTGGTTAAAAATGTTCAAAAATGTTTCTCAAAGTTGAAATGTTTTTTCGGAACATTAAACGTCATGAAAAACAGGAATAAACTTGTCAGATTTAACCCTTAATTCTTATTATTTTTCCATCTACTGCAAAGATAAGAACCTAATAATAGTTTAGTTTACAAAGGACAACTTTATTAATAATCATTTATCATTTTAAATATCATACGATCAGAATAAACATTTTACATTCAACAAATACACCTTACCAATGGATTTAAAGAAAATATTTCAAACTATCTTTTAGAATTTAACTGAAATATGACACATTTCATGTAAATTTGTCTGAGTGAGTGAGTGAGTGAGTTTGGTTTTACGCCGCTTTTAGCAATATTCCAGCAACATCACGGCGGGGGACACCAGAAATGGGCTTCACACAATGTACCCATGTGGCGTAAATTTGTCTGAAAGTGTAAGCTTCAAATATGATTGAATTGTCACGTACGGAAACAGCAATAGATTATGCACAGGCAAACTGCTACAACAATCTAGAAACAAGTATTTCTCAACAAAATATTCAACTCCAAGCAACAAGTATGGGCCCTTGATGAGTCACAAATCTGATTATATCTGTAAGAAAAATCTCTCACAATATCTGCATTATATGAAGTGAACATTTTTGGCAGTTGTCGTCGAAGGTCACATTCTTTAATTGAAACATGAAAATATTTTCTAGGAGACAAAAGAAAATAGAAAACCCATAAATATTTACCCTATGCTTGTGAAAAAAGTATATTTAAGAATATTCTGTTTATCACAACTTCATTTATTTTTAATCAGCTGATAGTTCATGACTACCCAAAGAGCCCAGAGTGGTTGACAAGAGTGTACATACATATATAGTTATTAACAATGAAACAATACATAAGCACACTGTATCACTCAAATCGGTACACTGACAAGAATCTTTTCTCCCTCATATACCTAGGTTAAGTCATGCCCATACTGTCCCACATCCCCCTCCTTGACAATATGACAGTGGTGACAAATAGCGGGGTCATCCTGACAATTCAAATTATGCAGATAACAAAACCCTCAGAAATGAGGTGTTATAGACACCATACCTTGAGTGAATCTGAATAGTGAGGATGGATTTAAACCGCTTCCAGTGTTATTCCAGGACTACAGTGAGGACACAAAGACTTCACAGACTGTACCCATGTGGGGAATCAAACCCAGGACTATGGTGTGACCAGTGAATGCTTCAACAGCTAGGCTACCCCATCAGCCTGTGAGCCAAGTAAGTCAAGAGTATTCAGATCTAGCTCAATGTGACAGGAAAGTCAAGTGGTGCAGGATTCAAACCCACAACCACTGTATCATGGTACAGCTAAGGGAGACAACTCAGCTCAAAAGAACTGTATTTCTCCAACCAGAGCCAGGCACCATATAAAATCTTTTCATTCTTATAAGGATATTTTGTCAAATGGACAGAATACATCTGGGAGCACTACAGACACAACTTGACCAGATATTTGAGGAAGTTATATAGTGCATGTGCAACAACTACAACACTGGTGCTGACAGTGAAAATTATTACTGATGGAATTATGAAAGACTCAACATTTATGTCAGCTATAAGGTATGGCAACAATGCACATCATGTATACAGTTTAGAAAATAGTAAACATTGTAGCAAATCCAAAGCATTAGCATAAGAAATGCTTGATAAATTGCAATTGACATATAAATGTATGGTCACGAAATAAGACCAGTGCCTCGTTCCACAAGACAATCAGAGCATTTCAACTGTTACATGTTTAATCTTTCCATCTTACTGCTACAATCGATCATCTTAGCACAATGATCAATCACCTTAGCGCTAAGATCAATCATTTTAGAGCTAAGATCAATCACCTTAACGCTATGATGGATCATCTTAGTGCTAAGATCAACCACCCTAGCGCTACGATCGATCACCTTTACGCTGCGATTGATCACCTTAGCGCTATGATCGATCACCTTTGCTCTGCGATTGATGACCTTAGTGATACGATCCTTCACCTTAGTGCTGTGATCGATCACCTTAGTGCTGTGATCAATCACCTTAACGCTATGATCGATCACCTTAACGCTATGATAGATCACCTTAGTGCTGTGATCGATCACCTTAGTGCTGTGATCGATCACCTTTGCTCTGCGATTGATCACCTTAGTGCTACGACCGATCACCTTAGCGCTATGATCGATCACCTTAACGCTATGATAGATCACCTTAGTGCTGTGATCGATCACCTTAACGCCATGATCGATCACCTTTGCTCTGCAATTGATCACCTTAGTGCTACGACCGATCACCTTAGTGCTATGATAGATCACCTTATCCCTATGATAACTTTGTGGAACAGCACCTGATGCTACAAAAATAGCCTTTGCAGGATTTATATCTGGAAGGGAGGACAACTTCATTCATCACTACAATTCAAATATCTACTGAAGATTGTAATTGAATTACACACTGCAAATATCATATTGAATATGAATCCAAAATCTGGTGAGTCAAATTCCCCACATTAGCTGTGAAAAGATGAGTTCTTCCTCTAGCACCAGCAGATCCATATTTTATCATTTCAACTGCACAGGCTAACAAAGGACATGTTTGAGTGTTAGAATTTCAAAATGAAGCTATCTTTCAAATCCCTTAACAAATTATTCTTTTTATTAACCCTACCACAGAAAATGTGTTCTTTCAAGTTACAGTTTGATGCAAATTTCTTAAAAGTTGGCCCCATTTCACAAAGGTATGATATTGCTGTTTAAGAAATTTATAATATACAACTCTGTTAATCCAGACAGTTTGTTTGTTCCTTGCTTAATGCTGTGGACAGCAATTATTCGAGCAATATGACATCAATTAGTAAATAACCGAGTCTGGACCAGAAACTTCAGGAGCACCAGCTGGGATACAATGACTCAGTCTGACCACCTGATCCATTTAATGGCCTCATATGACAGGCATAGTCTGCTGTGGGCCTATATTCTAACCCTGTATCAACACAGGGTCAATTGGTCAGTTCAAATCCATCAGAATCATTTTAAGTACTGAGCATCTGAGACAAACAGAAAAAGGACTCCTGGATAGAGGACCTAACTGATCACTGACTGTCCACTGAAGGAAGTTACTGGTTAACAAAGGTTCAACCTTAACAAAGTAACCCTCTAATGTGGCTTCATTTGAAAACATGGGACCCATAACTCAGTCTGCAGACAAAATCCTTGTTCACGTGCGAGATCCAAGACTCCAATGTGAATGACAAATGTTTGATTATGACATTGAAAAGGAACAGAGTAACTACACAATATTTACACCATGCAACAGCCATGTAATGATTCGACTGTTCATATGACTAGGTAGGGTAACACAGCAATTGGTCACAGATTTGTGGCAGCCAATGTGATGTCCTCAGACCACAGACAAGGCCACGACACACTGCTTCACAGATTTCAATAATCTTTTTTTTATTGAGACACTTGATCGTTGTCTCAAGCTGATAGCTCTGGGGGGTAAAAGATATCTTTGCCGATAATTCGGAAATAGATTGTTCTGAGCCAGTCACGAGACAATGATAATAGACGCTCCACCACTCTAGATGTCATCTGAATCTTAACAATAAGTGAAATAAAGCTCAGATCTCTTATCTTTTGACAAAGAATTTCCATGTTTTATTCCCAAACAAATAAAAACGACTTTTAACACATCTTCTTTGATTATGGAAGATGTAACTGTTTATGTAAATCTTGACTGGCAAATTTCCTTGTTTAATTTTCTATAGTCTTTCACAGGTTACCTCCCTTGAACTGGGAGGTTCACTGTATTACTGCATTATCAGATGATTGAGAAAACAAAACCTTTCATGTTTGGAAGCACTGCTGACATGGCATGTAGGATTATACTATTCTGTATTAGGAGTGGCCGAAGCCTTGTCTCAGTGTTGGAACAGCCACAAGCATGTCACGATCTGTGGACTGATAACATGATAAGGATGAAGGGTACTTATAAAACACAAATACATCCTCAGGCATTGCACTCTGATCATCAAACAGTTAAACAGCGTATGCACAGTCATTACATTATCCGAAAAACTGTTTCCTTCAAGGGGATATAAAGACACACAGTCTAGTGATTAATGCATATTGATCCGACTGAAAATGTTTGCTTTAGACGGTTCAGAGGGGAATCCAGGGTTAGTAAGTGTATGACCAGAATGCAACATCCCCTGTGTGGTGAGGATGATAGTGGCTTGGCATGAATGAGATGTCAACACTACATGTTATGACATTACTGGAGTGGTGTGATAATGCAGACAAGATATACCCTTCACCATTCCAAATCAATACGTCATACTGTTGACAAAATTGAAAATGTGTAAGAAATTGATGAAGGAAATTAACTTTCAAGTTGATCAAGACAACAAGAATAGTTCAATAGGCTTGTCTATGTTATCACACCTTCATTAAAGCTGTCTTAAATCACCCTAAGGTATGAAAGTATACTCAAACGAGAATGCCCTAGAGCTTCATCAAACAGCTCCTAATAGGTGTATTACATTTCAGGCTGGGCGGACTGTCAATTCTTATAACATACATTCAACACCATGAGATGACAGCGCCATGTTCTTCCATGGTAATATTTTGTCTTCCTCAATGTATAAACTTGCACAGACTTATATACCTTCTCAGGCAAGAGTAATGTTGCACAGAAGTTAACCTGAGAAAGTATTAATGTAAAACGTTCGATTTTGTTTCAGGCTACAAAATTGCCACAAAAACAGATGAAACTTTGAGCATCATAAGCCAGGATTTTGGCATATTTATCTGTAAATAAGTGTTTACAAAATGTTGGAACTGCCTGTCGGACATTACTGACGAAAGAGACTAATCGGTGGATTTCGGAAGCAACAAGTCAGACGCAACCAGTCCTGAGGCAAATGATGTTGATTGTTAAAGCTTGTCACTAAGGATCCTAGCTAGCAAGCTGCAATCTGTCCAATCTCAACAAAATTTGATCTTTAACCCCAATACAAATACCCCCTGCATGAAGATATGATGACTCCTCTTGGGAGGTCGTGCCGGGTGTATATCCAGACTTATGAATCCAAGGTACAATTGAAAATTCAGACCAGAATATTTCATTCTCTTATCTTGACAAGGAATTAAAAAGGATCAGTTCCAAATTTAACTCAGTCACCGCCACAGTAAATAAACTGTCATTTTTGAGCACTGCGACACCTTCACCCAAACACATCAAAGAAATATTTGTGTACAGTATGGGTCTGTTGGTCAAAGTTAAAATTTCTTTGGTTAAACAAAAAGTCTCCTAATGCTTCACCTCATTGTCCCTCCACTAAGGTGTCATCAGGTCTTCCTACTGAGAGACACTGCACGGGAGTCAAAATAAAATATTTATGAGATTAGAATCTGTCCACTATCTGAAATGCTTGCACTGGAATGACTATGAACAGGGTACTGGTTCTATTATACACCACCAGAGACTTATCTAGGCTTTAACAACACCTCATAGCCCACAAACGATACAGAATTTTGGTTACAAATTCACAATGGCATATCCTTTCCCAATAAAATAATTTTAATTTTAACCTATTTTAACATTTCTATTCGTTTACACATTTTAAGGACCATATGATGCAAGTTTAAATTCCTAGATAAGTCCCTGATACTTGTGTCAAATTTTTTGGAAGCACCATTCCATAATAACTGTACACAATCTCAAGACACTTTCAAAACATCCATCAAAAACGTCCACAGTGACACGATTACAGTACAGCTGAGAAAGCAACGTTCTTCAATTTCTTTCCTGATGTACGAATTCGGAGACACATGTTCTACACTTTTTTGAAACAATCAGATGACATGATATGATCACAAGTCTAACATTCCTCAATGATAAAGTACTGCAATAATTCCATGCATGGGCACAATTTCTTGTTTTGGTAGCCTATTTTGATGTTGCTATGTCTCAATGTAACGTTCACCCTAAAACTGCACTTTAGTCAGACAAATTAGGCCATGATTTCACAGAGCAGGTTCTGTGCATACAAACTAGCCCATCGCTCACAGACACAAAAATATAGCCCTGCGTTTCTACACTGGTAGTGCTTGGTGAAGGCTGCAATGTACAGCTTGTTACGGTGGCTGGCAACACTAGTGGCAGATCTTCTCCGTCATCTCTCTGTGAAAAAACAAGTAAAGAATAGAGTTTCTAGACAGTCAATACATAAAAACTTTACATAAAGTTTCCAAAAAGGCTTACATACGATATGCAAAATTCATGCTTGCTCTTATGAAACCATGTACACTTCATCATTAGATTCACAAGCAAAGGGATCCCTCTAGAACCAGCACCATCAGATCCTTACACATATAAGGGACAAAACTCTTCATAGCCAACTGCAGTACCATGCAAACAAGTGTGTGAGATTCTAGCATATGTAAGTGACAACTCTACACAAATGAATTGCAGCAGTAGAGACAATGTCACAGAACTATATAAGATCCTTGCACATAGAAGGGACACAACTCCATATAGTTATTTATTGTACCATGGATCACAGCCATTTCAGATCCTAGCACAAACAAGGGATACAACTCTATGCTGCCATTTGCAACACTAATTACCCCCTTCACACAGACATGTCAGATCCTAGCACATGTAGGGAACATAACCATTCATAGTAAATTGCAGAACCATGGACCCCATGAAATCAGGTATGTCAAATCCTGGCACATATAGGGGACATAACTGTTCACAGTATATTGCAGCACCATTGAGTACCACATAAACATAGTTATGACAGATCCTACACAAATACGGTGGTAGTGGTGGAATTGGGTTTAACGTCGTGCTTGAGAATATTTCGCTCATATGACGACGTGCATGCGTGTGTATGTGTATGTGGGGCTGCTTGTACTAGCCCAGACTGAAGCTGGTTTTATAGTGCTAGCCCACTGAGATACCATGCCCCAGTGAAGCATGAATACCCCACTCAGACACAGTATACTGACTCCGAGCCGACCAGTCCTTGTTGTACCCATTAATGCCGAGCGCCAGGCAGGGACCAACAAGTACCATATTTTAACGTCTTTTGGTATGACGCGGTCGGGGATCGAACCCGCGACCTTCCGCACCCCGGGCGGACGCTCTAACCACTACACCACGGAGGCGGTCACACAAATAAGGGACACATAATGACACAGTTGTACCATACAGTACAAATATTAGCAGTATCTTACCAAGGGTTCTAGTTCCTTCTTATCCACCAGAGTATACTCATTGACAAAGTAGTAGAAGTGTTTGTAGCAGGTGTTTACATGAGCTTCCTGAAACAAAGAGCAGGCTTTCACACACACATTTCACTTGTGGCCAGCATAGCTCAAAAAGCTGGTTTCTGATTGGCCAATGTAAGCATCTTGTTCATTGGTTGATCAAAGTTCATGAAAGGTAGTTCTGACATGATCCATGTCACGTCCTCATATCTTTGTTTAGAGATAATGAGAGTGAGTGAGTGAGTTTAGTTTTATGCCGCATTTAACAATATTCCAGCAATATCACAGCAGGGGACACCAGAAATGAGCTACACACATCAGAGCTACAGATAACTTTTTGGGTCATGAGTTATGTACCCGCTTGTCTTCATCTCAATTGGGTATCCTAATTTTCCTTTGAGTAACCAAACAAATTGTACTCACTGCACTCAAACTCAATTGGGTATTTTGCCTTTTTCCATTAATTGATAAATATAATAAAGTTTAAATGTTAGTGTTTGTTATTTATATTTGATCTGTTATATGAGAAACGACTGCTAGTTGAGTGTTCATGTGCCGAAATAGAACCTCTAAATATACCTCAGCTGCTTTATCTATCCACTGGTACGAAAGCTAAGATTTGACAGTTTTCTGTGTGCGCATGTACAATCAAATTTATTGAGTATTTATAAAAATACAAGCGTACTTGTACGCAACAGACGTAATAGGAATTGGGTTTTCAAATAAATATTTGCGTAATTTACGCAGATACGCAGCTTACCTGTACCTCTGACACATTGTAGATTTGTACCCATGTGGGTAATCGAATCAGGTCTTCAACCTGACTAGTGAACGCTTTAACCACTAGGCTACCCCACCGCCAGAGATAGTGAGATCTTAATGGGACTGAAGCGGCATCTGTGTCATAACTATGAAACATTTGTGTTTATGACTTCTATTTTTCTGCAGCAATGTCTCAGGGCTACTTCTAGCCCCATTCAGTGAATGCATCAGACACATTCACCTGATGAAGATGCAACAAGTGGCCATGAAACTCATAAAAAATGAGGGCTCGGTGGGGTAGCCTATTGGTTAAAACATTCGCTGGTTAAGTCAAAGACACGGGTTCGATTCCCCACATCGGTACAATGTGTGAGGCCCATTTTGGGTGCTGGAATATTGCTAAAAGTGGCGTAAACCCAACTCACTCACTCACAAACATTACAAAAGAGTTCTTATTCGTAAAGATTCATATCTTCATGTTCTTACATCTTCTAAATGTCTAGCAAAGATTTCTTTTACAAAACCATTGGCATTTTCTTCAAAATGATAAAATAGAATCATCTTTAACATTACTGCAGATCTATTTTACATATGGCTTTGACAACAAATGGGGGTAAAATTCAATACAAACTTTACTGGCTTCTGGGAGGATCAAGAGTACACCATGACAGTCAGCCAGCAATTACTGGGAGTATGAATACCTTATCCACCTGGTCGGACTTTAGGATTACTTGGTTTGAATGATGGATTGAGTGAGTTTTGTTTTTAAGCAATATTCCAGCAATATCATGGTTGGGGACTTCTGAAATGGGCTTCAGACATTGTACTCGTGTGGGGAATGAAACCCGGGTCTTCGGCTTTAACAACTCTACTACCCCATGGCCCCTACTTGGTTCGAACACTAACAACAGACAAAAGATGAGAATTCTTTGAGAAAAGTTTACATACGGCGCCAATGGCAACAAGTTTGTCAAAGTGATGGATGTAGACATGGACAAAGACTCGGAAGAGGCGACTGAGGATTTTCTTCACCACTTGAAGGTAGTTCTTGGGAAAATGTGTCTCTGAAACAAGATTCAAACAATGTGGCAATGAATCAATGCACAATATACCCTTATGGGCGGATGTACCTATTTAATAAGCTTGTCAATACTGTGCAACCAATAAGATCATTAGAGGTTTAAATATGGCTGTTTTCATATCTTACTCACCATCAACGGAGGCCCAAAATCAGACTGAGAGCTTTTGGCTGATATGGGATTAAGGGTTGAAATGAGGTATGATACAAAATTGCCATACAATAACATTTTTATTCTATAAATATTGCACCTCATTGAAGGATGTATTTTTTTTAAATGAATGCAATACATTTTCAATGGGAATTGTCTTATTGAATATACCAATAAAATAATATTTTTTCAGCTACATTAAATCCCAAAGCAGACACTCAAAAATGACTTGAAATATTTCTCAAACTGAACATTCGTGGAACCGTGTTGTCACACCCTGGTGGAATTTAAATGAATTTGCTGAAAAAAATATGAATGATCAAAGAACAGTCAGACTAAAATATCCCCAGAGCTATGAAATATAAGCCGAATGTTAAAGATTAAGGTTGATTAGTTACATACAAATACGATATTATTGTTTTGAAACTCGTAGCAGTATAATTACATTTCCTAAAAATGGTCGAAGCGCACGTACAATCTCCATAACAAGCCCGCAAGATCGTCAGAAATACACGCAGTTGGACCCATGAGAGCAGTTATGTCAACAAACGCATGTCGTGTATTTGAATCTCTCACCGTCAATCGCATGATTCTTATTAAAAACTTCATAAAGGCAGCAAAATCCTTTTAGCTACGTTCTGTGTACTTTCAATATGACGATATATATTTTTCATGATTTTTGAAACAATGACATAATGCCATAAATGATTTAAGTACTTGGGATTATTTTTATCAAAGCACCGCGCTCATTTATGCGCGTTCTGATTGGTCTGTCGTATTTTCGCACATAACAAGTATCGAGTGGGGGACGAGTCTTCTTGGAGGTTACAGAAAGGGGTGAGTGGTGACGAATGGAGTAAATGATGCATGAAGGGAGACAACTCCAATTTCTTACCACCAGATATAACAAAGGATACGCCTTCTTGTTTATTGCTAAATGCTAAGTGTCGAAGTAGATTCTTACAGCACTATCATTAACCGTGTAAGAATCTGCTCTGAACATCAATCTATGCAATAAACAAGAAGTTGGTTTACAAAAGGTCATATGCTTCGTTATTTGCTCACTAACTTCTTTCAACAATCACCCAGACACAGATCACCAACTCAAAGTCATAAACAAAACAAATTAGCACAGCATTTGGGGTCGGTTTCTATACTCCCTAATGATACGACAATCACTATGTTAGGCTTTAGTGCGTCTGCAAAATGACTCAAATAATTGATAGATGTATTGGTAAGTGGAACATGGTAATGTGTTTCTATCCACTCCATGAGAAGTGCAATATACCGAGATGTGGGGACTGATATGAAGATACAAGACTGATAACCTACCTGCAGAAACAGGGAATATGTTCTCATCATTAATCTGAGTTTCTATCCACTCCATGAGAAGTGCGATATACCGAGATGCAGGGAGGGCTGTGGCTTTCTTGTAGTTTTGACCATCACTCCAGAAGTACTCATACCTGTAGCAAGATGTCAGATGTCAGCACAGAAAAGAATTAGCCAGGATTTGTCTCAAATAGCGCCACAACAAACATAGCCACTACCAGGTAGACAGCCGGCTTCTTGTAGCATGCATTACATAGCCCACCAAAACTTAACATTCATATAATGCTGATAGACACATTCAAGGCAGTAATTCAATTTTTAGCAAGTTTAGTTTTACGCTGCACTCAGCAATATGGCGGCGGTCTGTAAACAATAGAGTCTGGACCAGACAATCCAGTGATCAATGACGTGTTGATATGATGACATGTGTCAACCGAGTCAGCGAGCCTGACATTGAGTGACAACAAGTGGTGTGACAATTCATCGATAAGTATCGATCCATGGGCCGCTGATACAGTGAATCGATACAAAGTTTTACATTGTCGTATATCCCGTATACGATACTTCAAATGGGCAACGATACATCGATGTTTAAGTTTGAATATTGCCGAATCGCGATATCTGTCAAGAAAAAGACTCACTTTTGTTTGATGATTAAAATATTTGCTTACTTATTTTCCCTTCATAAGTAAACGTTTTCTCGGAAATTCTTGCTTCAAGAACTGTGTCCGACATAACGCTCACATGTTATTATCATTTCCAAAGTCCGTGTATAAACTTAATTATCTCGTTTCTGAATGAACATTGAAAAACGATGGCGGAATTTGACGAAATACTTTAAAATGGTTTTGTTTGGATATTCAGATTATTTATAGTTGGTGTTAGGATTAAATATTTTAGTATCATGATACGTATCGTATCGTCACCCTTAAATCGAGGATTCATATCGTATCGCAGCTTCAGTGCACGATACTTTGGCATTTATCAACTGACGACGCAATCCAGTTCAGTCACCTCACAACAAGTCCTAATCGCAACAACTGACGACGCAATCCAGTTCAATCACCTCACAACAAGTCCTAATCGCAACAACTGACGACGCAATCCAGTTCAGTCACCTCACAACAAGACATAATCGCAACAACTGATGATGCAATCCAGTTTAGTCACCTCACAACAAGCCCCAATCGCAACAACTCACAACGCAATCCAGTTCAGTCACCTCACAAGAAGACATAATCGCAACAACTGACGACACAATCCAGTTTAGTCACCTCACAACAAGCCCCAATCGCAACATCTCACAACACAATCCAGTTCAGTCACCTCACAACAAGACATAATCGCAACAACTGATGATGCAATCCAGTTCAGTCACCTCACAACAAGACATAATCGCAACAACTGATGATGCAATCCAGTTTAGTCACCTCACAACAAGCCCTAATCGCAACAACTCACAACGCAATCCAGTTCAGACACCTCACAACAAGCCCTAATCGCAACAACTTACGACGCAATCTAGTTCAGTCACCTCACAAAAAGCCCTAATCGCAACATCTCACAACGCAATCCAGTTCAGTCACCTCACAACAAGACATAATCGCAACTGATGATGCAATCCAGTTCAGTCACCTCACAACAAGACATAATCGCAACAACTCACAACGCAATCCAGTTTAGTCACCTCACAACAAGTCCTAATCGCAACAACTGACGACGCAATCCAGTTCAGTCACCTCACAACAAGCCCCAATCGCAACAACTCACGACGCAATCCAGTTCAGTCACCTCACAACAAGCCCCAATCGCAACATCTCACAACGCAATCCAGTTCAGTCGACTCACAACAAGCCCCAATCGCAACAACTCACAACACAATCCAGTTCAGTCGACTCACAACAAGCCCTAATCGCAACAACTGACGACGCAATCCAGTTCAGTCACCTCACAACAAGCCCTAATAGCAACAACTGATGATGCAATCCAGTTCAGTCACCTCACAACAAGACATAATCGCAACAACTCACAACGCAATCCAGTTCAGTCACCTCACAACAAGTCCTAATCGCAACAACTGACGACGCAATCCAGTTCAGTCACCTCACAACAAGCCCTAATAGCAACAACTGACGACACAATCCAGTTCAGTCACCTCACAACAAGCCCTAATCGCAACAACTCACAACGCAATCCAGTTCAGTCACCTCACAACAAGCCCCAATCGCAACATCTCACAACGCAATCCAGTTCAGTCACCTCACAACAAGCCCTAATCGCAACAACTGACGACGCAATCCAGTTCAGTCACCTCACAACAAGCCCTAATCGCAACAACTGACGACGCAATCCAGTTCAGTCACCTCACAACAAGCCCTAATAGCAACATCTCACAACGCAATCCAGTTCAGTCACCTCACAACAAGCCCTAATAGCAACAACTCACAACGCAATCCAGTTCAGTCACCTCACAACAAGCCCCAATCGCAACATCTCACAACGCAATCCAGTTCAGTCACCTCACAACAAGCCCTAATAGCAACAACTGATGATGCAATCCAGTTCAGTCACCTCACAACAAGCCCTAATCGCAACAACTCACAACGCCAATCCAGTTTAGTCACCTCACAACAAGTCCCAATCGCAACAACTGGCAACGCAATCCAGTTCAGTCACCTCACAACAAGCCCCAATCGCAAACAACTCACGACGCAATCCAGTTCAGTCACCTCACAACAAGCCCCAATCGCAAACATCTCACAACGCAATCCAGTTCAGTCGACTCACAACAAGCCCCAATAGCAACAACTCACAAGCGCAATCCAGTTCAGTCACCTCACAACAAGCCCTAATCGCAACAACTGACGGCGCAGCAGTCAAATCCAGTTCAGTCACCTCACAACAAGCCCCAATCGCAACATCTCACAACGCAATCCAGTTCAGTCGACTCACAACAAGCCCCAATCGCAACAACTCACAACGCAATCCAGTTCAGTCACAACAAGCTCTCACAACAAGCCCTAATCGCAACAACTGACTCGAAATCCAAGTCAATCCAGTTCAGTCACACTCACAACAAGCCCCAATCGCAACAACTGACGACGCAATCCAGTTCAGTCACCTCACAACAAGCCCCAATCGCAACATCTCACAACGCAATCCAGTTCAGTCACCTCACAACAAGCCCTAATAGCAACAACTCACAACGCAATCCAGTTCAGTCACCTCACAACAAGCCCCAATCGCAACATCTCACAACGCAATCCAGTTCAGTCACCTCACAACAAGCCCTAATAGCAACAACTGATGATGCAATCCAGTTCAGTCACCTCACAACAAGACATAATCGCAACAACTCACAACGCAATCCAGTTTAGTCACCTCACAACAAGTCCTAATCGCAACAACTGACGACGCAATCCAGTTCAGTCACCTCACAACAAGCCCCAATCGCAACAACTCACGACGCAATCCAGTTCAGTCACCTCACAACAAGCCCCAATCGCAACATCTCACAACGCAATCCAGTTCAGTCGACTCACAACAAGCCCCAATCGCAACAACTCACAACGCAATCCAGTTCAGTCGACTCACAACAAGCCCTAATCGCAACAACTGACGACGCAATCCAGTTCAGTCACCTCACAACAAGCCCCAATCGCAACAACTCAGACGCAATCCAGTTCAGTCGACTCACAACAAGCCCCAATCGCAACAACTCACGACGCAATCCAGTTCAGTCGACTCACAACAAGCCCTAATCGCAACAACTGACGACGCAATCCAGTTCAGTCACCTCACAACAAGCCCTAATAGCAACAACTGATGACACAATCCAGTTTAGTCACCTCACAACAAGCAAAGGAGTACTACACACCTATTGTAACTTGGATGTACAGGAGTATGAGGCATGGTCCTGATCCACAAGTTGTTCATAGCATTACAACCTATCGCAACTCCATACTTTATCATAGGGACCATGAAGATCCAGGTTAGAATTGATCTTCAGTAACCCATGATTGTCGTAAAAGGCGACTAATGGGATAGGGTGGTCAGGCTCGCTGACTTTGTAGACACATGGCTTCGTATCCCAATTGCGTAGATCGATGCTCAAGCTGTTGATCACTGGAATGTCTAGTCCAGATTCGACTATTTACAGACTGCCACCGTACAACCGGAATACTGCTGAGTGTGGTGTAAAACCCACTCACTCACTTTATCATAGGCTTAGTGTAGTCCAACGAACAGTTTGTGGATAGGGTCATTGGATCATAAACATCAAGGTAAAGCAATAACTCACTTTGGTCCTCCTGACATCGTTGGGCAAGTCTGTTCAGTACAGTGTTCACATATTGTACCATAGAGAAGGTTAATTCTGTTGAAGAAGTCAACCACTGAAAAATAAAACAAAGTCTACCATAGGTTGGGTGGAAAAACTATGTAACCAAGTGTGTGGAGATATTTCAGTAATAAAACATCAAGGAAAAGCAATATGGAAAGGGAGGTTACTCTTTAAGAACATGACCTTCAGCCAATGTACAGGGCTCCAGATAATTTTTCAACATCAGGAGTATGTACTCCTTATTTGTTCAATATTGAGTACTGGAAAACCTTAGTGTACATTTAGAGTACTGAATGGAAGCTAATGTACTATCAGTAATCTTGTGTTTTGTTTCATATATGCACCACAACATTGCTACTCTTGTGTAAACAGGTCAATAAACAATAAAACAATACTTTTTTTCAGATAAATACGTCTGTAAATGATTCTAAGACCATACACCATTGCTGTGGTGCGTATCGGCTAAATTATTTCCTACCGTATCGTGCATATTTTTTATCTGTACAGATGACCGATACGGCCCTTATCTGGAGCCCTGGGCCTCATTCCTCAACACGATCGTAAGCTAAGATGATCGTAACTCCCATACTTTAACATGGACTTACGACTGTCGTAGCACTACGATCGTGTTGAGGAACGGGGCCGTGAATGTACCAGACTTTTCTCAGGATATCCAGTCAACAGCCTGCAATTATTCTTTCAAAACCTGTGGCAAGATTTGTTAACATTTCCAAACTTGTGTCTGGAACATTTTTGTTCTAAATTACATCATACAAAACCCAAGCTGCCCATTATCTCATTAAAACGAAATCTTTGTGCTCCATAATGCAACACAACGATCTGAGGAATCCCACATAGTTCATGTCAGAACAGTTTTTCAACAGACTTTACCATAATGCAACACAACGATCTGAGGAATCCCACATAGTTCATGTCAGAACAGTTTTTCAACAGACTTTAACCAACCAATGGAGTAACAAAAACTATTGACATTAGCCAATCGGAAAGCAGCATTTCTAAGCTTTATACCACAAATTTCAAACATGTGACTTCCATTCTAGATTCTTTCTTTGAAAAATATCAAGTCCAAATTTGAGCACAAACAAAAGAAATTTCTGGAATGACTTATAGGTGATCAAATACTTCTGACAGGCCATAGAAAATCTCTTCCGAGTCAAATATTTATCTCACTGAGGCAATAATTAGACAATGATTTGGAAGGAATCAGTAATACAACCCTGTCATTCAGAATACCCTGTTATAACCAATCAGAGATCACATGATTAGAAAACACATTCCGACCGTCACGTTCACAATGATCAGGTAGGTTCTATTTGATGGAAGGATGACCAATAACAAACATTAACAATTGCTTCAGATCTTTGCTCAGTTGTCAGTTAATAAGATTGAAGCTTCCAAAGTTTTATATGTTTATTCCCTTACCATGCACAGCAATCCAGTCATTCATGTCCTCCCCCTGAGGGAGTCGAACAACCTCTCTCAGGTCAATCCCAGCATTGAGGGAAGCATTGGCCTGTTTGTGGAGGTTGTACTTCATAGTACCATGTTCAAACTTCTTCCGGGGACGGAAAGTCTGAAATGTCAGCACGTTTAGTACATTTTACATAACTATTTGAAAAAAAAATACAAAAAATTATAAAAAGGCACTTATTCATGGGTAAATGCAGTCTGCAATTTCCTTCTCTGAGTTCTGTGTCAAATAAAATTTTGTTTGGTCTGGTAACATTATCTAATAATAGTAAATAATATAACACTAAATCTACAAACACTGATGTTTAAAAGTGAGTTCAGACCAGGAAGCTCAATAGTGTAATGTGTAGATGTGGTGAGATTTCAAGATTCATACCTCCCCATTTTAGGTATGTTATTGTATCCCAATAACATGAATCAATGCTCATGTTCCAATCACTGGATTGTATTGTTGGAATATTACGTAGTGCGGTGTTAAACAACAATGTATATCTTTGAGCATGTTGTGGTTTCTTGTCAAATGCAATAAGTACTTTCTATATTTTCGTTACAGCAAATGGGCCCTGTGATATACAACTGCAAAATTCTACTTCCAACCCGGCATGCTCAATTCCAAGCTGAAGAGTGTTTGGCACTGACTGTAAATGAGGCAAAGTTTCCAGACTCCTATCTTCTATTACTGTTACGATTCACTTGTGTATTCAGTAAATCAAACGTTATCCCTTCATGAAATCAGTGCATTATTCGTGGCCTCTTGGATAAAATATTTATGAACATTTTCACGGGAGTGTTTTTAATTGGAACTATTTTGCTGTTTATTTATGTGAGATATGCAAAATGGAATATAACCAAGCCATGCAGCAACCTGACTTTTGTTACTTTCAAAAGGCCCCTTATGGCACCGTCATTAGGCTATTGTTTGCTATGCATTGCCTTTTCAGACATAATCACTGAAATATTGCAACCTTAACAATTACATGACATGTTTGTCATTTTAATCCATTGGTATTAAACATAAATATTGATGAATAAATATCACATTTGGACCAATATATTCGTTAAACATATAGTATTCGGCCTCTTAGTGTATTTATTGCAGCTTACTATCTTTCCTTTCAGCCCAAATATGTACAGGTTGCCCTAAAGATTTTGTTGTTCAGTACTTTTGGTTTTGGTCTCCTGTCAGGCTTATTCAAATGTCAGACCTTTTTGAGAAATGAACTAGAATAGGCTTTCAAATGAATCGGATTCAAAATTGGGGTTTCATCAAAGGTGAAAAAAAACCCAGTGACATAGTTTCTTTCAGCATGGTCAGATTGCATCAAATGATTTCGTTATTTTATCAATATGGATATCAGAGAAAGGATGGATGTCCAACATTAGCTTGAAGCCAAGCATGAAAGTAAAGATTTGAAGAAAACTCTCAAAATATTATTTTTAAATAAAGATGCCCACCTTGTTGCCATACTGAAAATCAAATGTTGATGCCTTGAACGAACATGATGATGAACCCTCTTATATTAAAAAACATCCACTATCTCTCACCATGCTCAGAATACAATAACATACACTACTCCACTGTTGATAGGGACATTCGTAAGACAATTCCAGAGAAAACACTGATTAGTAACTGTATATTCTGTAAGCCAGAAACATCACAACTGATGGTGTGTTTCGAGTACAAAGAAGTTTTCATTTTTATTCCAATTCTGTTGGCAATTGTGAATTACCATGATTTGCAACTGTGTGATGGTACATGTCTGTTTAATGTCAGTGTTCACGAATGGTGTTTCAAAGTAACAGGACATTGGGTCCTGTAAGTTTCAGATGTCTGTCTGACCCATTGAAAATTCACAGGACCCATAGAATGAAATTAAACACATATTTCAGATTTAACATTTCTCATAATTGGCATTGAAATTATTAACAAACATAAGATTTATAAACAGCAAACAAGTGTCACGTGTCTCATATAACAACTTGAGTCAAAGTCATTGTCAAATATAGTCAGACACTGGGGCCTGCGGGTTGTATACTTTTTTCGAACTGTTGGGGAATCTGCCGGATTTGTCAGAGGGTCCGACTCTATTCGTGAACACGGTAATGTATTCAAATGGATGGTCAAATGGACATACCATGCCGTCATATGATTCCGTGGAACTTACGTTTCCGTGGTATTTTCTCATGACATAATTTCTCACGATCCACTCAACAAATCGCGCCACCTATCGATTGTTTACGTTCATCAGTCAATCGTCACGGCTCTGAGCAAAAAATGTTCAGACTTTCATCAATTTGCTTACGTTACAGTCATCTACTATTAAAAACTAATGCAACTTTATGTCTAGCATGTAATGCACTTTTTGTGCGATCTTTACAAACATTTTCTATAAACAAATTCAGCTTCAAAGTTTTGCAAACATCGCTCGTCTGCTAGCTGATGTCATCAATAAAAACAATCACGTGACCTAAGGGGTGAATCCCAGCTCTATTTTTTAAACTATGGAAGCCCGATAGGGTCATCTCTTAAGTTGTTTTTTCACTTTTCATTTCACGTATCCCTTTGATCAACTCTACATATTTTATGAACTGGAAATTTATGCTGAAGAAATATGACTATTGCGTTAATTCTACAAAATCGTTTACTGTATTACAATTTATCAACTTCGTTATTACTGTAAACCTACTTTGACACTCCCGGATTGGCTGTTGACAACGTGTGAGATTGTGACATGTGCTGTACGCCCGTAATTTGATCTGTAGGAAATACCACGGAAACATATGACGTCACCTGAGTTTGTGCACAATGGACGCCTGTCGTCCGATTCGGACAACAATGAACTTCAGAATGACAAAAATGTTTTATTGACATTAAATGATACATACAAAGGTATGTCGTCTAACACAAAGTTATGTTTATATGACTTGGCAATATGAGCGATCATATTCATAGTCATAAATTTCTTAATACCACGGAAACCTATGACGCGAGGGTATCCCAATGGCCATTGGACTTCATTTTTAAGTAATTCACTCCTGAGAAGATTAGTGAGAGAGCTTGTTACTGGGAAAAAACAACCAACAACTTCATGTATTGAGCATGTTGTGGTATCCTGTTTAGTGCAATATGCAATTTTAGATTCATGATACAGCTATCAGGGTGGAATTTGACTAAATTAGTACACTAGCGTAACCTTGATTCGTGGATATAAGGGAAGTGCGGCGAAATTCATATATTAAATGCATGATTTCATTTTGTATACGCACTGAATATTTTATTCATTGATTCAGCAAATTTAAAATGCCTAATATTCCACTCGTGAATAAAACCTTTGTTTACGGAAGCCATTTACAATCATCACACATTCGTGTGCCCATAAAATGTGACATCACCTTGTTTCGTGGATTACATAGTCGGTTACTTTATACCACTATGTACGACATCCCACCGCAGTAAGTATTGAAACCAAGGAAAGCAGACAACGAGAAGTGAGAAGGATGGAGCTAACGGTATCTTGTATGTACATCAAAAGTACCGTTCTGTGACGTCAGTTGAGACTTAATTTACGAGCTTGCATGATAATTCCGCAATTCACGAATCAAGGTTATCCACGAATTTAGGTTACGGTTCTGTAAATGTACAAACCTAAATACTACAACTCAGAATTCCCATCTCCTAGTCAACATGCCCAAGTCGATATGGTGACAAAAACTCGACAAGTAGTCCTCTTGTCAGTTTGTCATAAAGAAGATAGAGCTAATTTAAAATCGCAACGATATTTCTAGAGGCTACTTTAGAAAAATTAGATTGAGAAGGAGGAAGTGTGTATTTATAGTTCCCACGAGGATGTCAAAGTCGGGGGCCAGGGGATCAGGAGTCAAAATATTTAACCAGGGGAGAATATGTAGGTGGCCTTTCTGAATCTTTTTTTTTAATTTTAAAAAGATTAATTCTGTTGCACGTATAACACAGGGCGTCTACAGATCTTTAGGGAAGTTGGGTGACAACCACGGTAACAAGACTTGTCAAAATGACGAGCCTACAGGAAGCCCGATGATTCATGCCTCAAAACATCGGCCACTTTTGTTATATGCTCGGCAATAAAAGAACATGTCATGAAAAGTATTATATTCAGACTATGTTAAAGATACATGTGTATAAACATTTACACGGTTGGACCATGGTTTACCTTATCTTTCTTGAAAAATATCGCGAATGCATCTCTAGCAGCCGCCATTTCGTCTTCTCTATGAATGCTATTACCCTAACAACTATTACTGTTGTGACCAACACTGAAGATGATCTCTTCCAAACGATTTGCAAACATTTGTGGTACCCGCGCAAACGTACAAATTTCAAAGATGCGTCTTTCTTTCTAAATTTGATCAACACATGCCATCCTCTTTCAAAACCGGCGGTCAAAATGTATAACAGGATTTGAAAAATATGATGATATTTTGAAGATGTCAGAAAGTGTGAAACAAATAAACAGTAACAACAATATTGTAATAAACACGCTTTCTGGTGTGTTTCTTCTCACGGTATAACATTTAGTAAGTCTCCTCGGTTGTTGAAGTGTTGTCGATATTATCCGTATTAGGACTATTAACCAAGAAAAGAATATTTTAAATACGCGGATATGGCCAAATCGGAACAAGCCTATTAATATTGGAATATTGCTAAAAAGTGGTGTAAACCCATACTCAGTCTTTTAGCAGGGTGGTGGGTTGTCTGCAGGTCTTCCCTGTTGGAACTGAATTTGGTGTTTGGTAATCAATTCTTGGGTTATGTGCCATGTTCTTTATCAATAAGGCCAGACCAATGTATTTCTTGTTTTACATATTTTTGTCCTCAGAAGAATTTCTTGTAAGTTTACATTTTTGACCAATAAAAACATTAGGATTTTATTTTTTGAAGCGGGGAAAATTCACTTTTATTTCTTTTAAGTATTCTGGAAAAATACAACTGGAGGATCATTAAAACAAGAAATAGAATTGGTCTAGTCTAAACTTGAAATATAGGTGTGCTTATACAGTATGCATGAGAAGCAATGTATACAGGACACCTTTAGCACAGTTTACTAAAGGTAAAAGATGCAAATGTGTTATGTGATTTTTAAGATATGAGAAGTTTAAACATTTGGGACATCTTTGAAATAGTGTGAAATGAGAGATAGTTGGTTATGATGCCTCTATCAGTATCATACCAGTCACATCCCAATCAAGGGCATCAACTGTATATATTTTGCATTGGGGTAGGAGTCAAACCAATGCCTGAGGCGTCACATAAGTTTATGCAGCTGAACATAGACAAGCATGTGCAAGGTGAACATGTCACAGTGGACATTTTCTGTCCAAGTATAGACATCCATCAAATCCTGCATGGTGTTAGTTGTTTGTGTATTCAGAAATGTTGTAGAGCACCAGCTGACCAGATAAAAACTGACCATTGTCAGATTTCCCCATAAAATGACAAAAAGAAATGAGTTTTGTTAAAGATGTTTTATTACTAAAATACAGAGCAGCCTGTCTTGAAATGGGACAGGCAAGAAGAATACTATGAAATGTAATTATATGTAGTACCGAACTCATTAAGTTGGTTCCACACACATATCTTTATGTCTGTTGAAAAGACTCTTACAAACAATTGAAGTAATGCCATTGGCTCACCAGCGTGAAATGTGTAAATACGTGGAGGTTACATGTATATGGCATTGAACATTACACCCATCATATTTGTGAAAATATAAACTAGTAAACAAACCAAGGTAGCTATTTGAAAATATTTTCAAATATTTTTTTCAAGTGTTACAAGAATAATGTAAAACCATACAACTGATTAAAATCCAACAATAACCAAGTCTATGATATAAATACAAGTATTACAGTCACATTTCACAATCATCTCGGGGGAGGGTAGGGTGTGAGGTGTGTGGTGGTTTAGCCTATAGCTAGTGGTTAAAATCTTCGCTCATCACCCAGAAGACCCTGTTTTGATTCCCCACATGGGTACAGCCCATTTCTGGTGTCCCCCATCGTGATATTGCTGGAATATTGCTAAAAGTGGTGTAAAACCATACTCACTCACTCAGTAATTATAACCAGACATGAAAATAAGGAATACCTTGCATCATATATGAGTAATAATAAGTGAAACATGTTTTACAGCTACATGAACACTGACATCAACTTTAATGATCATGACCAAAACCTTCAAAGAACAGGGTATCCATTTGAAAGAAGAAGCACATGTCATGTTTAATTATGCATGTGTGAATTCCTTCTTAGAACCTGTGTTGTCTTGTGACATGAACATTTTACCAAAACAATTCCCAGGACTAATGAAGAATAATCTCATTAATCTTTGTGTTGTAGTCATTATGGAAACAACACTGTTTCACTGGAGCTGCACATCTTGTTTATAAATTATTACCTTTATCAAATGATTTGGTATGAACCCATGATACGTAACTACATTTAACAAAATGTCCTCCAGAAACAAAATATGGCAAAATCTGGAGCAACAAAAACTGACAAAGCTGAATATTTCAAGATGGGGAAATTTTCTTTTTTCTAAGACTAACAGCATACACATTAAATAGTTAGATGTAACATCACATGTAAGACATTATTCACATATCATAAATTACACATATAAAACTTTCTTCATTCTGGCAAAGGGCAACAGTTTTACATGCCTTCCATGGCAGACATGCAGAGACTTAGTTGCCAGTATGTAAAGCCTTAATTAAATACTAACTATCACAAAAGTAATATAACAGCCAGTATCATGAAATACAAGAAATATGGTATAACTTTACTATTCCATTGTTTACTACATGCCACATATACTAATATCAAACCATCAAACTATATCAAATCATACTTCTAAATCACATTGTCATGCAGTGTAAAAAAAATGTCACTGGAAAGGTGGTCCAATTGTTCAGCAGGACAATAAGCACAAATGGGGGACAGAAAAGCACAAAATGTTTGTGTGGGAAAATTAATGGAAACTTCTGTTCTGCTGGCAAAATAAATAAAAATTATTGCTGAGACTATTTTACTGCTTCAAAACAGAAGTTCCTTAATTTGTCTCCATTATGGAGGTGTTACTCAGCTGACATCAGAATGCCAAAACAATTATCAAAATACATCATACAAATCAGTAAACTGCATAATGAATGCACTTGAATTATTCCTGTAGTCCATCAAGATAACTGTCATCACTTGTCATCTACAGTGATGGGGACACCTCTTCCTGGTACTTGGTCAGCATCATATTCTGTTGATTTGCATTCTGGTTAACCTCTCGAGGTAATATGTGGCTGCTCTGAAGTACAAAAAGATAGAAGTGTTTTTATTTATATTGAACAACTTTTTATGGATAACAACCTTTTTTTATTTTATAAGTGTGGCGTTTTGATAAGAATTTTTGTACCATTGTGAACGAATGCTTGGACAAGGTGAACTACCATAAATGTATATCATGTACCTGCATCACAATATTTGGTCATATTTGGGAAACTGTGTTATACATCAACTGAGATACATTAACTCAGTTAATATTTTATGCTTGTTAAAAAATAGCAACAGTCAGTTTCAATGAGATAATAATAGCATCAGTAAGCTAATTTTCTTTTGGCAGTACAAACTTAGTCCAACAAAAATCACAAGGGTGAGGGGGGAGAGGAGTTTGATGATTTTTATGGAGAAGCATGTACAATCTGAGTAACTTAAAATTTATGTACAAAAGTGACCCCCTCCATGTACAAATACAATTATGCCCCCCCTCCCTCGCCTTCACATTAATTTGTATATTTATAATTTAAATATAATTATGTACACAAATTGCTGACCCACCCGGGTACATGTGTACAAAATTCCACGACTACCCTACCTCCCAGAAGAAACGGGTGACCCTCCTTAAAATCATAACCAACCAACCAACCAACCAGCAGACCAACCAACCCACCAACCAACAAACCAACCCGCCAACAAACCAACCAACCAACCACCCACCCGCCCACCCACCCCTCTGTGCATCAACCAACCAACCCCACCCACCCACCCTCTGTGCATCAACCACCCAACCCTCTGTGCATCAACCAACCCACCAACCCACCCTCTGTGTATCAACCAACCAGACAACCAACCAACCAACCAACCCGGCCACCCACCAACCAACCACCCACCAACCAACCAACCAACCCACCCTCTGTGCATCAACCAACCAACCAACCAACCCAGCCTCTGTGCATCAACCAACCAACCAACCCTCTGTGCATCAACCAACCAACCAACCCTCTGTGCATCAACCAACCAACCCATCAACCAACCCACCAACCCACCCTCTGTGCATAAACCAACCAACCCACCCACCCTCTGTGCATCAACCAACCAACCAACCAACCAACCCACCCCACCCTCTGTGCATCAACTAACCAACCAACCAATCAACCAACCCATCCTCTGTGCATCAACCAACCAACCACCCACCCCCACCCTCTGTGCATCAACCAACCCAACCCTCTGTGCATCAACCAACAGCCAACCAACCAACCAACCCACCCACCCTCTGTGCATCAACCAACCAACCAACCAACCCACCCACCCACCCTCTGTGCATCAAACCAACCAACCAATCCAACCAATCAACCCACCCACCCTCTGTGCATCAAAACCAACCCACCAACCAACCCATCCACCCACCCACCCTCTGTGCATCAACCAGCCAACCCCACCCACCCACCCCTCTGTGCATCAAACAACCCACCAACCAACCCACCCACCCACCCACCTTCTGTGCATCAACCAACCCACCAACCAACCCACCCACCCTCTGTGCATCAACCAACCAACCAACCAACCCACCCACCCACTGTGCATCAACCAACCAACCAACCAACCCACCCACCCATCCTCTGTGCATCAACCAACCAACCAACCAATGAACCCACCCTCCCACCCTCTGTGCATCAGCCAACCAACCCACCAACCAACCAACCAGCCACCCACCCACCAACCCACCCTCTGTGCATCAACCAACCCACCCACCCACCCTCTGTGCATCAACCAACCAACCAACCAACCCACCCACCCTCTGTGCATCAACTAACCAACCCACCAACGAACCAACCCACCCTCTGTCCATCAACCAACCAACCAACCCCACCCTCCCACCCACCCACCTTCTGTGCATCAACCAACCAACCAACCAACCAACCAACCCACCCCACCCACCCTCTGTGCATCAACCAACCAACCAACCAACCCACCCACCCACCATCAAACAACCAAACAACCAACCAACCAACCCACCCACCCTCTGTGCATCAACCAACCAACCAACCAATCACCCACACCCTCTGTGCATCAAACAACCAACCAACCAACCAACCCAGCACCCACCCTCTGTGCATAAAACCAACCAAACAACCAACCAGCCCACCCACCCACCCACCCACCCTCTGTGCATAAAACAACCAACCAACCAACCAACCAACCCACCCACCCTCTATTTCTACCAATTAAGTTTGTCTGAAATAAAATTCTCAACTCTTTTCAAAAAATAACCTTTATGATTTGATAGAGCAAGCATTTAACATTTCCAAAACGAAAACATCATTGAATTTTGATTAGGATAATTGCCCATATTAAAAACAGGTGTTTTGAAAAGTGAGAGTAATAACTGATTGTTGTGTGGCCTATACATGCGTTATTTATTGTGAATGGATGAAAGTTTGTAAACTAAGATTAAGGAAAAGTTACAGTCAAACTAAAAAAAAGGCAAATTTTAAAATGCATTAAAAGTTGCTTTACAAACAAAACAAACAGATTTTAGCTGTAATTATCAGTATCTGGCAAGAGGAAGTGTTTATTCATTACAATAAACTCAAAATCATAAAACATTTATTCCAAAATCTTGTTAATGTGGTCTTTTTCAGTTTTGTCAATTAGCAATCTGAATTGTTGGAAAAATGTCTGAACTTTGACATTCGGGTTCTTCCTGATTATTCGCAATTAAAGCTCACTTGATGTGTAAATGTCATCTTGGTATATAACAGAATTGTTATTCTTAGTCAAAATGTAATTCAATTGTGTAGTTTGAGCAGGAGAGGAATAATTAGTTTGGGTAAAATTTCAGTACATAAAAATAGAGAAAGTATACCCTATGGTATCAAACATAAATACATAAATAAAATTAAAAAGCATCATATAATTAGAAAAACCAATGTAACAAAGCCATAATTAATGAGCGTTCCCTTAAGCGGACATTACATATCCACTTTTCTATTCTGCACCAAGATGTAACATGTTGCATCATTACACTGTTACAAAACAAAACATTCATGTTTGTTTTAAAAATGTTTCAAGACTGATCTCATTTTGGTGGTTTTGAGACAGTGCATCAGATATGCAGTTAGCTGCCCTTCTTGTTCAAACTCAAGATCACAAAATGAGGCCTATAGCTCCAGTTCTTTTACAGTTTGTACCTTCTAGTATCCCCACACACACACATTTTCATGAGTATCACAAATATTCTTCAATGTATGTACAAATGTAGCATTTATCAACTGAGACAATAAACCATTTCAGAAAAATGAATGACGTGAGAAAATGCCATATCTGAAGCCAAATGAGAAACTGACACAACCTCATACTTAGCATTTGCATACCAAATTATGATTCTTCTTGAGTTTATTAGTCCCATATACTATACCCATCAGCTAATACCTTTCTTGGTGTCATCACATCTACTCTTGTTTGGAGTCTGTTCTCCCCTTCCTGAAAAGTAAAATTATTTATCACCAAGTGCAAACATGTTCCTTTAGCATAAAGCAATGCTTACCATTATAATATTTCTTAAAAGTGTCTCAAATTGTAATAACCTTTTTGTCATGGGTTTCTCCTTCTTTTGCATCTGGCAATGAGTCTGTTACGACAATACATGTGAAAAAATATGATATTTTACCTACTTTGGTACAAATCCAGGCATCAGCAATGTTTTCATTTCAGGGTACATATAACAGTGAGTAGGTGAGTTAAGTTTTAAGCCACACTCAGCACTATTCCAGCTATATGGCAGCGGTCTCTGAATAATCGAGTCTGTACAAGACAACCCAGTGATCAACAGTATGAGCATCGATCTACCCAATTGGGATAAGATGACGTGTCAACCAAGTCAGCAAACCTGACCACCTGATCCTGTTAGTAGCCTCTTACGACAAGCATGGGTTACTGAAGATCAATTCTAACCCGAATCTTCATGGGTTCATGTAAGAGTGGATCATTGTAAATGGTTAAAAATGTACTGTTTCTTTGTTGGCTCTAGAAATGGCTAAATATCAACAAATACTTCATCACACACTCTAAACAAATTACCTCTTGCATTTAGGCACTATATACCATCCATACCTGTGCTGACCATGAACTTGTTTAAAAAGTGATGATTTTATTTACCACTAACTTACCATCAACCAATGTTCATCCAGTGACATAAAATCAGTCGAGTGCAATTTTTGTTATGATTAGAATTATAATTTGTGTGTGTGTGTGTGAGAGAGAGAGAGAGAGATGAGAGAGAGAGAGAGATAGAGAGAGAGAGATGAGATAGAGATAGAGATGAGAGATGAGATGAGAGATGATGATAGAGAGATGAGATAGAGAGAGGAGATAGAGATGATGATAGAGAGAGATGAGAGAGAGAGATGAGAGAGGGAGATGAGAGAGAGAGATGATAGAGATGGAGATGAGATAGAGATGAGATGATGAGATAGAGAGATGAGATAGAGATGAGGATAGAGAGGATGAGATGAGAGAGATGAGATAGAGATGAGATAGAGAGAGATGAGATGGAGAGAGATGAGATGGAGATGAGATGGGAGAGATGGGATGAGATAGAGAGATGAGATGGAGATGGGAGAGAGAGGATGATGAGATAGAGAGGATGGGATAGAGATGAGGATGAGAGAGGATGAGATGGAGAGATGAGAGATAGAGAGATGAGATAGAGAGAGAGATGATAGAGAGAGAGATGATGATAGAGAGAGATGGAGATAGATAGAGATGAGATGATGAGGATGGATAGAGATGAGATAGAGAGAGAGATGATATATAGGATAGAGATGAGATAGAGAGATGAGAGAGAGATGAGATGATGAGAGAGATGATGATAGAGGATGATGAGATGGGATGGGATGGATAGAGATGAGATAGAGATGAGATAGAGAGAGATGATAGATAGAGATGAGAGATAGAGATGGAGATAGAGAGAGATGAGAGAGAGAGAGAGGAGAGATAGAGAGAGAGAGAGATAGAGAGAGATGAGATGAGAGATGAGATAGAGATGAGATAGAGATGAGATAGAGATGAGATAGAGATAGAGATAGAGATGAGATAGAGAGAGATGAGATGAGGATGAGAGATAGAGAGAGAGAGATGAGATAGAGAGATGAGATAGAGAGAGATGAGATAGAGATGAGATAGAGATGAGATAGAGAGAGATGAGATGATAGAGAGATGAGAGAGAGATGAGATGATAGAGAGATGAGATGGATAGAGAGAGAGAGAGATGATGAGAGAGATGAGATAGAGAGAGATGGAGATAGAGATGAGATAGAGATATATGAGAGATGAGATAGAGAGATGAGATAGAGATGAGATAGAGAGAGATGATGAGAGAGATGATAGAGAGATGATAGATAGAGATGAGATGAGAGAGGAGATGATGAGATGGAGAGAGATGATAGGAGATGAGATAGAGAGAGATGGATGAGATAGAGAGAGATGGGATAGAGAGATGAGATGATAGAGAGATGATGATAGAGAGATAGAGAGAGATGAGATAGAGAGATGAGATAGAGAGAGATGAGATAGAGATGAGATAGAGAGAGATGATGAGAGAGAGAGATGAGATAGAGAGAGATAGAGATAGAGATAGAGATAGAGAGAGAGATGAGATAGAGAGAGATGAGATGAGATAGAGATGAGATAGAGAGAGAGATGAGATAGAGAGATGAGATAGAGATGAGATGAGATAGAGAGATAGAGAGAGATGAGATAGAGAGAGAGATAGAGATAGAGGATGAGATAGAGAGAGATGAGATAGAGAGAGATGAGATAGAGAGAGAGAGATAGAGAGAGATGAGATAGAGAGAGAGATGGAGATGAGAGAGAGAGAGATAGAGATAGAGAGAGATAGAGAGAGATAGAGATAGAGATAGAGATGGGATAGAGATGAGATAGAGAGAGAAGATGATAGGATAGAGAGAGAGATGAGAGAGAGAGATAGAGATGAGAGATAGAGAGAGATAGAGATGAGAGAGAGATGAGAGAGATGAGATAGAGATGAGATAGATGAGAGATGAGATAGAGATAGAGATGAGATAGAGAGATGAGATGAGAGACAGAGAGAGAGAGATGAGATGAGATGAGATGAGATAGAGAAGAAAGATGAGATAGAGAGATAGATAGAGAGATAGATAGAGACACAGAGAGATACAGACACAGAGACATAGATAGATAGATAGATAGATAGATAGATAGATAGATAGATAGATAGATAGATTCCTATTTGAATTCGATGGCAATAACACATTCTTTAAATAAAACAACTATTTGACACAATCCAGCTTGATCATATAACCTTGGGAACATTGATAAGAAAGGTTACTGTCATAAAAACATTAGCCCTCTCAAAAGTAGTACATATTTTAAGCTCATTGCCTAATCCTCCAGATGGCTTTAGCAAGTTTCTTGAAAAGATATTTTTCAAATTCATTTGGAATGGTAATAATGATAAAATAAAAAGAATCACAATGGAAAGATTAAAAGGCTGAAGGGGACTGGGTATGGTTGATATAAAACATTTATTGAAGCTCTAAAATTATCCACTCTTAGACAATAATTACTGTAAAAAATCATCCAAAAATAATCCTTTTAATATACCTTATAATGATAACTTCAAGTATGGAGCAAATATTCACAAAATACTTAACATTGAAAACCCTTATTGCAAAGATGTTTAAAAGCATGGAACAATTATTGCAAAAAGGTTAATGCTGATTCTGACAATACTGATCACATTCTTGCACAACCATTATGGCTCAATCATAATCATAAAAACACTTATATTAGACACTGGGCGGATAAGGGTTTATTGACAGTAAAAGATGTATGTGATGAGCATGGATTTATGCCTTTTGATAAGTTAAAGATACAATACAAAATAAGAGGGACACAATTAGACTATAACTATCTACTTCAAATCTGACCTGATATTTGGAAAAATGTTATTAAAAATACAGTTATCATTCCTCCTACAATTCATACATCAATGTTTACCAAAGAATTGAAAATACTTTGATACTTTGATATACTTATCCTATCTCACGGTATGCACCATCTCTCTCTTCTACGACCATGTGTGGAAACGTGCTGTCAGCTAAGTTGAGTCAAATCTAACTGGCCTCTGACCCGCCCTGACCTCTGCCTTCACCCTGACATCAATGCCTGTCAATCATCCATCAAAGCGTGGGGCTCGCCTAAACGATCACATGACCACCTCTACTTGTCATTCTCGTCTTGGAGCTTCCAGTAATCTGTGATGTGGGGCAGGTGGGGTGAGATAGGACAAGTATATAAATATACAATTTATTATAAAATTTTCAAATTTTTAAACTTATCCTATCTCACGGTATGCATAATCCAATGGTTGGTAGGCGTGTTGCAGATTACCCGGTTACTACTACCACCGGGAAAACGCATAACTCAAGGAGGCCAGGAGAAAGCAACCAACTCCCGATATGCAAACTCCAAACTTGAGATGTTTTTTTGTTGGGGATTTTTAAAAAAAAAATTCAGGTTTACACAGCACAAAAACTCTAAGGAGTGGGCGCTCCCGGGTTAATGTGGTTTTCAGCCACAACTTTTGACAAGCAAAAGGACGCAGTTTGGCAAGTAGGCCCCACCACCCCGCGATTTATCAGGTGACCCCAGTGAATTAAAGTCCAGGACCTTAATCTGGACAGTCCCTGCTTCGAAACTATCCCCCACAGACAATGACAGAAGGAATAGCCCGGTTGCTCAACTAGTTTAACGTTCAGTACCAATCTCCCTAACTTACCAAAGGTGAGAAAGGACTTAGGAGCAGAACGCTTTGAAAACCATACAGGTAATCGGGATCAACACTTCACTGACGTGATTGCTCAAAGAGTAGAGGTCAGTAAGCGGAATGTCGACCTTCTCTACATGTAGTACAGGACTTGCCTCATAGTCTTCTCGCCATGGTGTGACAATACCAACACGTCCTAGTTCTCTAGATGAGGAGGGTCTAGACCCAGGTCAAAAAGTACCAAGATAAGGATAACATCGATATCATTTATTATGTACAGAGCAGAACCGACCGAAGAAGGATTGCTTTATCTGCGAGCACGGGCCGAAGACAGTTGCTGTGCCAGAACCAAGGGGCCGAATTGATGTAGTCCTTCCACATCTGTCAGTGAGAGGTCCCGTAGGTAGTGTGAGGAGAACACAGTATCCGATCTCCAAAAACAGCCCTCCATGATGGACTGAAGGAACAGTTCCTGTGAAGAGCCATGGTTGGCCTTAAAGAGCTTCGGGTCTCATGAGGCTTGGCCATTGCTGGCGGAGGTAGGTTAGCAAAGGTATAGGCACGCAGGATCATAGTTCTCATCCCAAAGCCAAGGCAGTGCAGGGAGACTTCCAAAGTCGAGGCAGTAGATATAGGGATGAACAGTCTCTTCGTAGTCTTCGGCGATCCTGCGAGGCAGCTAGATAAATCCTTTAAGTTTCCTGGAGGTCGGAGATGTTGAAGATATTCTGCCACCATCTGCGGGATGCGTAGTAGGAGACAAGATGCCCTTCTTCCTGCAATAAGCTTCAAAACTTTTCCACAACCAAAAGCAGAGTTATCCTTCCAGTTGCACGCAATTTCACCAGAATGCGAGGAAGAAGGGCCACTGGCGGAAACGTGTAAGCGTTCAGATCTTCCCACGGAATGGCCAGAGCATCCAGGTCCCAAGCTAGAAGGTCCGGTATTGGTGACACAAACCGAGGTAGCTGATGATTGAACCTCGTAGCAAAGAGATCTACTGTTGGAAACGTCATTGGAAGGCAAAGAGTCTGAGACACCTGGGGATGTAATTTCCATTCCATTGGAGAGGGACGACTCGGTCGACACAGAGCATCTGCGATGACATTCTTCACCCCAAAAATGTGGTTGGCCCGCACCAAGAATCCACCAGGTTGAAGAATCGTTGTGTCCACTGTAGACGCCGTGGAGACCCTGTTGACCCCATTCTGTTGATATGCTACACCACCGCTGCGTTGTCCGATCTGACCATGAGAGAGGTTGATTGTAGAGCATTCTGCCAGTGACTGATTGCTAGAATCACTGCCCTGAACTCCAGAATATTGATGTGAGAAGCGGGATCTTCGGAATATGGGCTACTTCCCTAATCGCCCTGTTGAACAGAGAATTACCCGACCAGGGTGGGCAAAAGAGGTCTGTTCTGAATCTGTCTTCCAAGGATGAAAATTGTAACAGTCCTCTACGCCTCATAGCCGTGGACATAGAAGAAACGAGCCAAGATATCTAGGATGGTTTGGAATTGTTCCTGCAATAATACCATAGCCGCTCGGATGTATGCTTGCTGATGGGTTGTAGCATGTGCGTCAGACATGACCACCACTTCAGTAGTTGTCAACATTAAGTTCAATGGAGCCATAATCTTCCTTATGGACGCATCTAAATGTATCAGTTCATCGTCTTCGATCAGAAAGGGCGAATAATCTCTCTGTTTCATCCCCAACAGCGTGATATCATCATCTTCTGGAGGAGAGACAATTATAGATGACAATCCATGTACATGAGCCGATGCCAAGTTGAAGCGAGGCTCAGCAAAACCATCTTTAATCTTCCTCAAACTATCAAAAGCCTCATCCAGGGACGCAGTCAGCTGAGTGATGCACGGTCGGGGAGGGGAACATGATAGAAGCAAAGTCTCCAGTCTTCATATCAAAACTGGATAAAATGTCATCCTTCGAAGTACTACGCTGTAACTTGAGGTTATCAGCAATCCAGATAAGTAGCTGAGGTGAGTCAACAGCATCCACACTCACATCCGAAGGAGACATACTTCCTGAAGACATAGACAGCGTTGTTGAACGTAGAATCTCTTGCACAGGCACCGCTAGCGTAGTCGAAAACCCTGATGACTGAGTAACAGGAGATGACACTGGCTCCTGATGCTGTAGCTGATGCTACGACCAACACAAAGGCATCAAAGTCCATAGGTTGAGACGTTGCCCCCTCAGACACTGGATTCCAGGAAACTGGCAAAACAGATCTCACCGTCGAAACTGTAGCAGAAGGAACGGAAGATGAGGTATGTCACACAGCGAGGATGAACATACAGCTGATTGAGTCACGCCCACATGAGATGATGGCACTTGTGTGGGTAAACGCTGAAACCTGAGGAAGCGTTGAACCATGAACCACTCCAGCAGCTTGAGACCGTACCGCACCAGGAACACCATAAGTAAGCGTTGAGCCAGGTGGCCCATAAGTGAAACTCGCAATAGGAGTGAGCGTTGATCCAATAACGCTTTCAGTAAGCGCCGAACCAGGACGGCCGTGAGAGAGTGCTGAATTAAAAGCAGCATGATGAAGCGTCGAACTAGTAGGGAGCGTCAAACCGGAAACGCCAGGAGCAAATGCCGAACCAGGAGGAAGTGCCAAACCAGCAAAAGAAGGGTTAAGCGCCGAACCAGGAGGAAGCAAAAAATTGGGAAAACAAGGGTTAAACGCCGAACCAGGACGAAGCGCCAAACCGGGGAAACAAGGGTTAAGCGCCGAACCTGGAGGAAGCGCCGAACTGGGATTACCAGGGGTAAGCGTCGCACCGGGAAGAAGCGCCGAACTGGTAGTAAGCGCCGAATCCACCCAAAGCGCCACACTGGAAGAGAGCGGCGCTCTGAGTAGCCACCTGGGATCTGTGACAAGCGGCGCTCTGCCCGTATATAAATGTCTTAATGAGAGTGTCACTCCCGAGGAAAGTGCCGCACTGGTTGAAAGCGCCGCACTGCCTGTAACCGTCACTTGTGATGTAATAGTATGAGTAGTCGCCACCTCCAACCCATTAGGGCGTTGAGTCACATTTACCAACAAGGACGGCCCTGGTTGTATGTCAGATGTAGACAAAACAACAATATGTGGAGGTGACGAATCTTCCAAAGTAATAGAACTAGACGAATGGGGTCAGAACAGTTGAAGCACAGAAAATCTTCTTCAGGAGATTTGGATTTAGAACGTATTGCAGATTTTATTTGGCGATCTTATTTAGAACACTTCGGCTCCATTGGACCTTGCAATGGATTCCTCGGATCTCTATCTGCCTTGCACCTGCTAGCTACCCGACGATACTCTGAGAATGCATCGTCGTCCAGGTTAGCACATAAACTACAACGTTTAGACAAATCGCATCGTTCATGGCAATCCACGCAAGAGTTATGAGGGTCTGCTGCCAAATAGTTACTATTGCATCTATCACAATGTTTGCGTTTCTTTGAAGCGTGACGATTTGCTTTCCCGATAGTAGAAAACACAAACAAAAAACTCTCTTAAACAGCGTGGCGACAAGAAAGAGAATGACAAGTAGAGGTGGTCATGTGATCGTTTAGGCGAGCCCCACGCTTTGATGGATGATTGACAGGCACTGATGTCAGGGTGAAGGCAGAGGTCAGGGCGGGTCAGAAGCCAGTTAGATTTGACTCAACTTAGCTGACAGCACGTTTCCACACATGGTCGTAGAAGAGAGAGATGGTGCATACCGTGAGATAGGCTAAGTTATAAAATATATATTAAAACTCTCAAAGCGTTCAAGATTACTTAATGACAAGTGTATTTCTAAAAATGACAAACTTAAGATTTGTACTAAATGGGAAATGATATTCAATGATTGTGAATTTTCAATACACATTTCTGCAAATAGTTATTTATACTAAAATATAATTATTCAAAATGAACCTGACTGACAATGATTTGTCTACCGTTAGTTTGCAATGATGTTTCTGAGAGCAATTGTTGTGCTTATTAGGACTGTTGTGAAACCATAAAATTCTGGAATGATCTCGAAATCAATTAACAACTATTTACCATGAAAAATAAACATTACAAATATTTGATTTGGTTTGGTACATTACATAATGATGTATTACTAAATCAAATCATTATCTCTGCAAAAAAACATATCAATTTATGTAAATTTAAAAAATCAATTCCAAAATTCATTAAATATAAAATGGCATCAAAAGAGATATTTTCTGTTCAAAACTTTATTTTCAAGGGAAACAATGAAATTGATAAATTCAGTCTTAAGTCTTAAATGGAATTCACTCATGCCAATATTCAGCAACAAATTATAATTACATCTTTACACCTTTTCTGTGTTTGTTGTTACTGTATACCTTTGACTATGGGAACAAATAAAAAAAATACATAAAAAACATGGGAATGTTAAGATACAATATGAATACACTTTGTCAAACTGATTTTAAATCATAGCTTTTGTGCAAACAGTAACAAGAGGGCACAGAAATCTACATCCTTTTCCCTTTCAATGGTGCATAAAATCACCAGAAGTGTAAACATAAGAGAACATACCATTAATCCTAAAGCATATGAGCACAAGTTACATAATAATGACTTCACCGAAATCTTTCCCTCACTCCCTACTCTTAAAGCTTTCAATATCTTGTAATGCCATGAATTAGAAATGGTACCCTGGTACTTTTCAGTGACTGAGTTTTGCATTTGACAGCAAAGACTGAAGTCATACATTCATAATAATAATAATCATAATAATGTAGCATTCATCAGTCCTTTAATGTTTGTATGATGCTGTACCTTTCTTTTTAATTGCCTCTGCATTATAATTAACATCCCAGACTACTCCAGCTGTACCATAAACTAGTTACCAAGACTGACTACCGCCTGGTCACCTGACTTAACATAGGGAGTTTTTCCTGGGGATCTATTTTCACCTATATAGATACAGCACTGTTGTATGACATGGGATAACAGATGTGCCCACTTGCCTAATTAAATGATAAATCTAAAAATTCAACAGTGCCCCTGCATACAGTTCAGATTGCTCCTCTTCACAGCAAGAATAGGCATCAACTGAATTCCAAGCTTTTCCTCAACAAACTGTTGATCTGGACTGGTGGGCAACCCAACATGGGATGGTATGGTGAACAACCTGTAAACATATGAAGTTATTTATACACATAAACATTTGTTTTTAATGCCATAATATAAATAATAACTGCATCCATGCGTTGATGTTTTCTGAGTAACCATGAAGGGATGCACAAAATAGACACAGATGTTGAGATTTAACTTAAAAAATGCCTTATTTGACAATTGAGGTTAAAATGTAACATCAAAACAGAAAACTCTAACTACAGTATATAACATTGCCAAAAAAGGAGCATACCTGTTAAGTTGTCATGACAGAAAGATGTGAACTGTCAAATACATTGATTCACTTAATGGAAAAATAACAAATACATCTTCAGCCATGCATGTGCAAATGAAACTAGCAAAATATCTCTATAATCCTAACAAAAGTGGGGTCAATTGTTTGATTGTGACTATGGCATACAGTGTTCATGAATTACTACCAGTTTGTGGTGGTACCAACGGTTCACAAAGATGCCTTTACATCTGTGACCTTAACCATGGACATGACCTTTATAGATTACATATCATATTTCAGATCCCATATATATTATTTGTTATTTATCTCCTACTCTTCCCTGATATTAGGGATGGTGAGTTAAGACTTATGACAATTATTGTTCCCATTTCAATGCATAATTAGTAGTGTTGGGAATTGGTTAAAATTGATCATTGGTCCATTACAACCGATCAATCATCGAAAATAATTGGTTAGGATCATTTATCAAATGTTCCTGTTACCTTTGTTAATGCACAAAATAATTTACAAAAAAACAACATGTAGTTCTTTGGGTTTGGGGGTAAATTGCACAAAATGCATTTTCATACTTCACATATTTAAAGGATGGCTAGTATGTGAGGAACATAAATTTCCAGGAGTCTTTAAGATAAATTCAATCATGACTTGGAACAAGCTTGTAGTGCTTATGAAATGTAAATAAAATGACTCAGACAAACCAACCTTGTGAAAAAACATTGTTAATGCAAACAAGTGTTCCAAAACTGCTTGTGTTCGATTATGAGAAAACATTTTCGATTGCTTGGTCATTTAGTCACTGCGACCAATCTTTGATTATTTCAATTAATCAGACCACCACTAATAATTGGTTGACTGCTCACTTAAACTCAGAGCCTTGGTCACATTGTGGTATTCTTGGATTTCCCCATCCATACTCAAGGTAGATCCTATGTAGTTGATCCACAAAGTCAATGGTATGTTGCCCCACTGGTGTTTTCTATATCAGGTTTCAAATTTGCTTCATTAGGAAATTTGGGATAACAATTGCCTGTCACCCTGCTTATCAATAAACTCCTGTACGGATTCCTAAGAATTTTTCAGCATAATACCGGTTTATCAATGTTCTTATATTTTCGGAATTTCGGATCCTGAACCCAACAAACGCGCTGTGTAAATTTGTGGATATGACATTATGAAGTCCCAGACTGAGGAATCACTATTTTCCTGTCCCCATCAATAATTTCCAGTCTGTATTTTCCATGGACAGGGTTGTGGATTTCTTTCAAAGGTAAATCAAACTTGTTCATTTTCTGACAAAAATGATAAAACTTGACAATCTTACTTTTCTGGGGAATGTCACCTCCTTCAAGTTTTAATCTAAGGCAGTCATGATGTCATTTGAAATAACACCAATGCTTCTATTTCCTGTAGGTTGAGCCTGAAATGCATCAAAATCCATCATTAGGTTCAATTGTACCTCATATGTTTGTTTCTATTTTATCTCACATTATGTGATTAATGTTAATAATGTTATATAATTTATTGAGTTATCTTACAAAAGTTATTAACAAATGTATACAATACAAAAGGTACACACAAGGACCCTCTTTATTCTATCTGGAGTGTTATTCCACAAAAAAAAGAAAAGAATAAGACAAACCAAACTGAGGTAAAACATATTTTAATGTGGTTGCCTCATCAGCATTAAGATTACTCTGTAGAGTTTATTTGGGTAAACATACTGACAGTATGGTACAATGAACATATCACTGCACAATAGATTATAACATAATAAACACATATGAAACACATAAACAGTCACTGAACAATATATTAATGCACACCATTATTAACATACCATATCAAGATGTAATCGCACCCAAATAGTTCAGCTGCTGCCTATACTTAATATGTGGCTGATTATGAATTAGGGCAAATGAGACACTAACATGACTAACAATTATCTTCTAACTAAGAAACAAAGGCTAGGTTCTGTACATTACTGTTAGGATGGATTACTTGTTGAAGTGGTAGTACATCTCAGTGATGTATTAATGGTAATCATAATAATTATAAAGCCTTTTAAAATGGAAAAGAAACATATATTATCCAAGTCCTTCAAATCCATTAAATCCTTTCTTCAATATACATAATAATTGTCAAAACATATCACATTTATACAAGTTGTACACATGAAACCATGTTATATGCAAGATTACACTTTTTAGCAGTAAAGTACACATTCTAGACATGTTTGGGGTTTAGTCCCATCCAGGATTTGAACCGACTCTCTCCACCAAATCACCAACATACAAAGTCAGTTATCTAGCCAACTCAGCTGTGAACATAATTATATTGTCAGACTTTCACAGCACCTAGTCAAATACATCCAAAATGGCCTTTGGTCCAAAATGTGTTTTACATGCCCTAACATTGAACAGAGTAAATGACATGGCAACTAAATAATATTTCACATGTGGTAGTCTCCAAAGCAGTTTGCAAAAGAAAATTACTTAGGTGATAAACAGCTGGTGTTTCCTTTTAATATATTTTGCTGTAATCTTCAGGTTATTATAAAGATGAAATATGAAATGGATACTTACATGCACTTACATGTTGCATGAAATATCACTAAACTACATAAGTCAATAATGCCTTGTCTTCCTATGTGATGTTTATATGTGTACTTATGACCCTTCTGCAGCTGCCCTTAAACGTACAGAAAGGTCTTAATGTTGAAAAAAATGGAGACATCTGCACTAGGCAAATCTGTGTTTTATGTACTGTATGTGTACATGTGTGTAAGAGAGTGAATTTAGTTTTATGCGCATTTAGCAATATTCCAGCAATATCACGGCAGGGGACACCATATATAGGCTTCATCCATGTGGGAATCGAACCTGGGAAGCAAACTTAAACCAGTGGGCTACCCCATGCCCTGTATATGTGAACATGTCACTTAAAATTTTAAAAAAAGAATTGGATGAAGCTTCAATACTTTTCCCTGTCCAATATGTCTATATGGCACAAGATACAGAGATATTTGTTACACTGAAAAACTTGTAAGAGACAAATTATGTCTATTTCATTAATGTTTTGCAAAATGTATTTCTGCATTAATAAAGAATGTTTAATAATCATACAGATACCATGGGAGTTTATTCATTTGTCACATAAAAAGAGTGTCATGGGATAATTTCACGCAACATCATATTTAGAATGACAGAAAATCTTTAAACCTCAAAACTAGTAACTATGCAACTTCCTGTTCATTAATGGTCAGTTGTTTGCCTTCCTCTGCTGACATCATCAAATCATAGCAGAGTCTGCTACATTAATAGAATATGGTTTTGATATTCATGACCTGATGTGATTGAGATAGTTTAAAACTGTTTCAACACAACTGTCCAGGTTTGATAAACCATTTATGAGAGGGCTAACACCAGTGTCTGATCTTTAATTTATCCCCAAAGTCATTTGTGTAAGCATTTTGGATGTAGGCTGGTGATCTAAGTGGAGAGGAATCAGAAACATTGTTCAAAGTTAGAAAGCACAGAATTCAGGCCAGAAATTGGCCAGGGTCACATTAAACAGCTTTAAAGTCCTGACATATGTAAGGCTGAATAATGAATTTTGCCAGAAAGTATAAAGTAAGGGGGTTGGAATATGCCTAGCAATGTGAAACACTGACCAAAGAACCCTACTGCCTGTTAAAGCCAGGAAATTGAAATTGAAACAGATGAAAGCTCTTTGAGACCACAGCATGAAACGAAATTACACATGAGTCTATCAATTCATCAAGCTAAGACTTTGAAATACTTCCATGAAATAAAATTTTTTCACTGTTTGCTGTTTTGAGAATGCTAGACTTGCCAATTTCATATATGAAAAACAAAATGAAAAAAATCCAGATAACTTATGAAGTTTATTAGTTACCCTGCCCAAAAGTGATTATTATTCATCAGAAATATCTAATGGCTGAGGTTGAGAGAGTTATGGAATTTGAGATACAGCCTTTACTGGACTGGGGCACTTAAATGTACTGTATGTACCTACATGTTCAAGTACCACAACTTGTTCAAGGTGGTAGAGGATATCAAGGTGAAAGGAGGGTGCACACACTGCCAACATCAGACAGACTTGTTGAAACACAACATTGGATGTGAAGGCTTCTGATTCTGCTGTATGTGCAAAGATACACCTCCCCAGTCACCATCAGTCATTCTCCAAGCTGAAAATAGTGTCCAGATCATATTAAATGTTCAATCATAAAGACCATAACAGCCATGAGACACTTTTTGAGAAACTAAATAATTGTTTGAAAGTCATGAGAGAAAAAAGTTTATTCATATGCAAAAAGGGTGTAACAGAAAGAATGGATCATATGCAACACTGTTTACTTAAGATAAGAGGGTTTTGTGACATATTGTGCCATCAGCAGTGAACACATTTCATACTCACAATACTCATATCATATGACTTTACACACAGACACCCAAATTGTGTCAGTGGTGACTTTATCCTAATTTGTTGTCAATTCATCTATTTCAACAAATTTAGAAGCCAGGTAACCATTACCATGTGGGCTCTTGTCACTGTTAGACCACAAATCGAGGCTACATTCAAATCAAGGCCACTAAAACAATCCATTCAACTCAAGCAGCCCTAGTTTCACTCCCTTAAATTAGTCTCTATAACAATGCCAACTTGTATCCATGGTGAAACATAAATAGGAAAGCATATACATGTAATGTATGAATTACTAAAATGTGCACTCACCTTTACATGTTGCACAAAATCAAATGTTTTCCCATTAACTTCCAAAGCAACATTAAAAACAACCAGGCTGTTAACAGCCAATACATGTAGTACATATAGCCTCAGACCACTTTACTATCTACAGTGACATGCCATGGCCAGAGCACCATAATTAATATCTGTCCTAGGCTGTCCTGTGGCATGCTGACCAACCTATTACTTCTCACTTACCCAGCAAAATATCGGTCTGGATCGAGTATTTCAGTTTTGCTGTATCCACTGTCAACAACGGTCACCGGAATTTTCGAGCTGAAATACACTGAACAGCCTTGAACTTGGGGTCAAATCATGAAAGGCTGGAGTCAATAGCATGTGCAGATTGAGGACAAAAACAAATGGCAATAAAGTAAAATGTCTGATCTTTCATTTAAGCTGTCACAAGTCACCCTCAATAAATTAGCACAGACAAATCAGTGCATTTAAACAAGGCACTACATTCTCCTATTTTCCTTCCGGGTCATGGTAAAACTTAGAGGAATAATACAGGAGTGTGAAAAGCGCCGACCCCAGTTTCGCATTAAAATGAAACCTACTTGAAAATATCTCATTCTGCAGAAGCAATCAGGTTAAAAAGAAGCAACTACACATTGAAAAAATGTGGTTAGTTTTAATTAGTGGATGAAAGCACATTTTAACAACATAAAATCATCCAATCACTGCTGTCATTTTATTCAGTCAGCACTGAAGGCTATCTACGATGCTTTAAAATAAAAAGGCACAGCAAAAACAACATGCATTTCATTTCCTACCAGTCCCCTGGGGTGCTTGGGGCTGGATGAAGCTCTCCTGGGCAGCTGGCAGAACCTCTGTGGTGCACACTGACTGTCCGCCTTGACGCGCCGAGGAAGCGGCCCAGCTAGGCTGAAATGGGGTAGAGAATGAATGAAATTTTCAGTCTAGAGGGGGTTGTACATGGTCAAAGGGATCAGGTGGGGCCTCTGCACCAGCCAAAAACAGCCAGGAGGGTCCAGGGAGGGGCCAAGACATCATTGTGCATTTAAGGTTTTCTGTGCACTTAAGGACTGCTATAGGAAACCTTAAGTGCACAGAAAACCTTAAATGCACAATGGACCTTTTTAAAAAAGGCACAGCAAAAACAACATGCATTTCATTTCCTACCAGTCCCCTGGGGTGCTTGGGGCTAGATGAAGCTCTCCTGGGCAGCTGGCAGAACCTCTGTGGTGCACACTGACTGTCCGCCTTGACGCGCCGAGGAAGCGGCCCAGCTAGGCTGAAATGGGGTAGAGAATGAATGAAATTTTCAGTCTAGAGGGGGTTGTACATGGTCAAAGGGATCAGGTGGAGCCTCTGCACCAGCCAAAAA